AAAAAAAAAAAAAAAAAGAAGAGAGAGATCATCTCACCCTAGTTAGAATGGCTATTATCAGTAAGACAGGAAAAAATAACAAATGCTGGTGAAGATGTGGAGAAAGGGGAATGTTCATATACCATTGTTGGGAATGTAAAGTAATAAAACCATTATAAAAAACAGTATGGAGGTTCCTCAAAAAACTAAAATAGATCCACCAAATGATCCAGCAATTCCACTGCTTGGCATATATCCAAAAGAAAGGAAATCAATATATCAATGAGATATCTAAACTCTCATAACTATTTCAACACTATTCACAACAGCCAAGATACGCAATCAATCAAAGTGTCCATCAATGGATAAATGGACAAAGAAGATGTGGTATATACACAATGGAATATTATCCAGCCAGAAAAGAGAAAGAAATGTTGTCACTTCTTTTACTGCAACATAAATATTACTGGAGATCATTATGTTTGCTAAAATAAGCCAGAGACAGAAAGACAAATATCAGATGTTCTCACTCATGTGGGAGCTAAAAAAGTGGATCCTATGAAGACAGAGTATAAAATGATAGTTATTAGCGGCTGGAAAAGAGGTCAAAGAGGGATGAAGAGAAGCTAGTTAAGGGGTACAAAAATATAGTCAGAGTAAAGGAATAAGTTCTAGTATTCAATAGGACACTAGAAAAATTATAGTTAATAATTTATTGTATACTTTGTATAGTAAATAAAAACACTGCACTTGTGTTCAGAAACTCTACAGTTCTCCTATAATGTATTAATATAAGAAGTAGAATAATACTTCTAAAACATGAATAGGATCAAGTCACCTCTTGCCAATGGTCTTTCATTCCACTCAGAGTAAAAGCTAAAGTCCTTTTTATTACACAAAAAGCCCTAACTTATCTCACTCACCATTATATCTCTGATATCATTTCCTCCTGCACATCCTATTGACACCATTCCAAAACATACTGTTTCACCATTGTTCTATAAACACACCAACTAAGTCCCTGCCTCAGGATCTTTGCATCTGCTATTCCTGCTGCCTAAAAAACCTCTCCTCTGGATATTCACATAGTTAACATCCTCATCTTCTTACCAATGAGAACTTCCTTGACTACTCTATTTTAAAAAGCTACACACACACTCACACTCTCTCTCTCTCTCCCAACTTCCCTTTTACTTTATGTTTTTTAAAATACTTACCACTATTTGACACACTACATACTTATTTTCCTTCACCTAGAATGAAACTTCCATGAGGGATAGGTTTTTGGCTGTTCTGTTCATGACTACATCCCTAGAATAGTGTCAAACACATGACACTCAAAAAATAAAAAAAACACTGGATAAGTAAGTAAATAAACAGGTAATAAAACAAATAAACCTGGGTTCTAGCATGGGTTCAATGACTAATCAGTTAATTGACCTCAGATGAGTTATTCTGGTCCTCAAAGGATTTTTTTTTTTAACTTTGTGTCTCAGAAGATCGGGTACTTGATTGGCAAGACTCTCATCACCTCTTGCTCACCTCTGGATGTCAGTCTGTCAAGGTTTTCTTTGATAAATTCACTGTATGAAAAACCCAACTATAATATTACACTCAAGTGTACGTTTATAGGAGCATACTTTTTATATAGTTTCTATATAATTTTCCTACCCCATCTGTCCCAGGTCAGATTTCCTAGGGATAATACCATTCCTGAGATGTGTGCAAGTGGTTAATTGAAGGAATGTTCTCAGGACAGTGCTGTGGGGGTGGTGATAATGAGTCAGGCTGAGGAAGGTAGGGTTTTAGGGGAAACGTAGCCTCAGCCTGATCTT